TCGTCGTTGTAAAACCATCTTAAGTATTAACATTTTTATCAGAGATGCTACTTTCTCAATGACTTTTAAATTGATATACAATGTTGGCGTTTTGTAAGATGTTGGTTGACGGATAAGAATTGGTTTTGATAACTAGATTAGTTTTATCAAATTAAACGATCAGAAAAATATTTAGAATTTACAGAAATACGTATACACATACACGAACAATTTAACCCTTGAAGATTATCTTAGATGAGACGAGACTGAAAGTACTTTGGAAAGTAAAAATTATAGAAAAGAAATTTTTGGTATTTTTTTTGTCTTTTCTTTGTTTCTAAATAATCTGCTTAGCTTTTGGAATGCATCTTTGGCCATCGGATACCAGAGTCGGGCTTTACTTTAGAAAACTTCACAGATATTTTAATTTCTGTACCTGCATGATATATATATATATATATATATATATATATATCCGCCTAACTATTCACGGATTGATATTGTTGTCATTTTACAGTATTATGATTATTTTAATGAAAAATAGTCCCCATATATGCACAGGGGTTGAAGAGCCGTCAACCAGCGAAGTCAAATTACAGACAAATTTAACTTGCCCTGAATCATGCGTACTCAGACAACAATTAATTGAAATCAAGAGTTAGTGCAACCAAATTCTTGAGCAATGACAAACAACAAGTATTATATTAGCTGTTATTGTTCTATCAGAATTCTGTCTGTTCAAATGGTTTGCGTTGACATAAAGAACAGATAGCTAGATAAACAGACAGATCAGAATAAAGAAGAGAAAAGTAAATAAAGTGGGCAGTAAAATAAGCATTATATTGTGTTCATTCTGTGCGCATGAAACTGATACACACAGACATATATATATATATATATATATATATATATATATAAAGAGAACATTGAAGTCAACACTCAGAGGCGACAGGCTGTTTCATGCTAGACACAATTGTTTGGCCGCCGATTGCAAAAAACAGCTTGTCACCTCTGAGTGTTGAATTCAATGTTCGCTTTTATATTTACATACGCTCTATCTCTGATATTGAGTACTTTACCCTATAAATACAGCACACCTTAAAACTATATTTCTTCATATATATATCTATATGTGTGTGTGTGTGTGTGTGATCCATAGACAGACTGTTTCGCTGTATCACAGCTCATTAGTATGGCTAGACATCCGATTGCCTCAAGCCAGGTTTGAAACCCAACTGATTCGGCATCAGCCGGAGATTTTCCCCCTGAGCTATCAGCTCCCCGCAGAGAGGAAGGTGAATTTTTACGCATTTATTTTAGACTAAAAACATCAATGACTCAGAGTGCTCAATTCATAGAAGAGCTTTTGCATCAGCAGTAGCAGTCACTGTTTAAAAATTCGCTCGACCGAATTTTATTTTTTCGGGGGCGTATATACGTGATATCTACAGACAGACTGTTTCGCTGTATCACAGCTCATCAATGTGGCTAGGCATCTGATTGCCTCAAGGCGGGATTGAAACTCAACCGATTTAGCATATATATATAATTTATTATTTAGTTTTTCCAGCGTTCTTACGTTTTTCCGTTTGGCGGGAGTAAGGGAGTACGAAGATTTTCTATAATGTCCATAGTCCCTAACAGCATCTAAAACAAAGCCCCCTTGAAACTGGCTCATGAAATAGGCAAAAGCGCTTGAAAGAATAACAATTCTGGAACTCCCACCAAACGGAAAAACGTAAGAATGCGAGGAAACTAAATAGAAGATTAATTAAATTTACCTTGTCTGCCATTTAAAGAAAGATGTTTAAAAGAAACTTTACTGCCCATATATATATATATATGTGTGTGTGTGCATATGTCTCCATTTCTCTCTCTCTCTCTCTCTATATCTATATATATATATATATATATATATATATATATATACTAGTTGATGTATACTGTAATTCCTGGTTATCCAAAAGTAAGAAAGTATCACTGAAAAGGCCTTTTGTGTGCTCACAGAGAATACTCAACCGCCGCCCTAGGATTTTTGGAAGAAATACCAATAAGTTATGAATACTAAAATCGTAAAGCGACTTATGTAATAATATCCAGAACTAAAAATTCAAAGTAAGTGGCCCGGAAAAAGGTTTTTGTGCGTTCACAGAGAATATTGCCCTTAAGAAAGCCAGTGTTAAGATAAATCTACAATAGATGTACAAATAGACTGATATATAGTTTCACAATAGACCTGCACATAGATTTATATGTAGATTTACAAATAGAATAACATACAGATTAACAAAAAAACTTTACAACACTGACAAATAGTACAGTTAATTCATAAACACCTGATGAATGGGTGTTTCTTAACAAGTTTATCGACTATCATTGTCGGGATATAATTGGATTGGTGCGGTACTAAACACTGATGGAACTGTGAATTATCCAGTTGAATTTTTGAATAACTTAACACCAGCAGGCCTCCCACATCACATTTTATACCTCAAGATTGGAGCATCAGTGATGCTGATAAGAAACCTGGTTTCACCGAAGCTTTGCAATGGCGCACAACTTACAATTAAGATGTCTGTAGGGATAGTATTATTATTATCAATAAATAAAAACAAAATATAAGATAATAATAATAATGAAAATTATAAATAAAGATTTTCGCCTAGTAACAAACTGGATGCTAGTTTAACATATATGCAAAATTTCATCAATATTCGTTCATTGGTTTAGGTGACAAATTGATTCAGACAAACAGACAGAAATTACCATATATATATATATATATATATATATATATATATATATATATATATATATATATATATATATATATATTTAAATAATTTTTTTGTTGTATATATATTTAAATAAGTTTTTTGTTGTACAAAACTTTATAATAGCAAGGAATAAGCGTAATTTAAAAGGAATATCAGTGTAAATTTAATAACTAAAAGCAAACGGTTTCGTCCCAGTCTTATCAAATTTTATTCTGGGAAATAAAAGAATAATTGTGGAAATTAATTAAGGATGACTAATTTCTTGAAGAACTAGAGACCAATAATATTCAGAACCAGCAAGCAATCCCTCTGTTTACAGAGAGAAGGCTTACGGGATCTGATATATAAAGACTCCAGGACCTTGAGATGATATAAAGAGTAGGAACTTGATAAAATAGAGAAACGGTCCACACTAAAGTCAGTAATACAATTCCTGCTATTAATAATGTGTTGAGCAATAGCTGACCAGGAGGTATTTACCAGTTGACAATTATTAGCGGCCGGATTGAAAAGCCTGGGAGGTAAATGCTGTTTTATCCTAAAAAAATATATATATATATATATATATATATATATATATATATATATATATATATATATATGATAAAAGTTCTAAGATATGTTATATTTATCGGTTAAAGTGCTCAATATCAGGAATAGAGCGTATGTAAATATTTTGAGAATTGAAGTCAACAACCAGAGGCGACAGACTGTTTTCATTTTTTAAACGCAATCGTCATGGCCTGACGATTGCGTTTGAGAATGAAACAGACTGTCGCCTCTGGGTGTTTTCTTCAATGTCCACTTTCATATATATATATATATATATATATATATATATTTGAAAGTGGATATATATATATATATATACGCAGATATGGAAATAAACAATGTGCCACATTTAGCGGAACAGATGCACGGTTTGATTGAGTATTAGGCGTATCAATATTAGGTGTATTAATATTTATACTGTGGTGAATGAAAGTGAAGTCTAATGTGACAATACCTGCAAATTAATCAATAAGTAGAAGTAGTTAATCCCTATGCTTCAAATAGCAATAAATCTATCTATTTATCTCCATATATATATATATATATATATATATATATATATACGCAAACAAAATTAGAATAAAATATATGTAAACATAGATGCATCGAAACAAGCAGAAACATCTGAGATCCAGTAAGTCTAACCCTAAGTATTAACTCAATCATTCTGTATATTAGACACTGCATTTCTCGGTATGAGTATCAGACAACGGCATGCAATAGTCATTTTCAAAACCTTTAAGATCTTCATGAAATATTCATTTTTTATTGGTATCGGTTTTCTGATTGGAAGCAACATCAAGTGGAATTACTACCGACAAGATGCAAGAATTACCAGTACTCGAAGCAAATCCCTGCTTGTTGGTATCATGATCAACGACGAGCAACTCGAGACAAGAGTTCGTGCTGTTCGGGAGACCTATGGTCAGCGACAAGACTTGGCTGATATTATGTTCTTTCTGGCCGACAAGAATGCCAGTATAACGAGAGTGAACTGTCTTTACGGATTCTCAATTGTTTATCTTTCAGGTTTGGACAGAAGGGAATATCCGCCTCAAAAGAAAATGTATGAAATGATGAAGTATTTATATCGGAACTACCTGAATCAGTATCAATGGTAAGTTTTTCTTTTATTTTGATGCTCATGTTTTATACATATTTTAGGCGTAGACAAATCTTTCCGTTTCCAGCTCTTATATAAAATAAGCTTCGGTTTTGCAAGAAATCAGATATTGTTTCTCTTTGATTTTTTTTTTCGTAGATTCTCTTTGGCTTTTTAATCGACAGGTTTTCGAAATCAATATAGTGCTGATGTTAGAATTTAAATAATTGTTTTATACATAGAAAATCGACCAAGAGAAAAAAAAAGATGTGTGAATATTGATGATATAATTGAAAGCTGGGCATCGTTGGCTCTTGCTTATAACAGATTTTAAGCAAACGGATTTTCATCGACTGAAGAAAGCTCGTAGCGCCAAAGACTGAAACGAAGAAGAGTTAAAAGCGAATGGTTTTGGACAACAACTTATTTTAAGAAAGCGCTTTCAGATATCGTTATCAGGGCTGGATTTTCACATGCTGATGCCCTAAGCTATATGGAATTCAAGGCTCTTCTCTAAAAAATTCGAACAAAAAATGTAAAATAATTGTACATGATTATTATTTATAAATGATTATATATAATTTTTGATAATTTCCTGTTAAAGAATAACACCTAATGATAAAATAAAAATGCATTAAAAAAATGAAGCCCTCAAGGGTGTGTGGCCTCCGATGGTGTGCCACGTACGAAGATGTGGCCCTAAGCTAAAGCTTTAGTTTAACCCCTATTTTGCGATTTATTAACAGATTTCCGATTTTAAATAAGCAATGATTACTATTTTTTTCGCTCATCAAACGTATCGATAAAATTATTAACTGATAAATTGGAAGGTTTTTATATATACCTATGTGTATATCTTTCATTGAATGTGGCAGACAAAGAAAATCATATAAGTTTCTTGTTATAAACCGATTAGTTAAACGACAAGAGTCAGAGAGTTGAGTTCGAACTCCACTCGAGTTCGTTATATTCAATTGCACGCAAATACTCCTGGGAAAGGTATGACTCCATCTTTTCTCCATTATGGGTTAAACAGTAAAACTTATAGCTAAAAAATCATTGTTATCTAAAGAAAAATTTTAATGAATGTTTAATAACTGTAGCATACCTCTAGACGATAATGGGTATGTCCCCATTCACATAAATACAGTAGTAAATACTGTATGTTGGTCTGCAGTTGGAGATTCGTCTTCAGCTGTGCTGGTCAAACTCTCTGCCTCTGGGCAAAGAGGATCCTCACATGAGGCGATGTCAAAGGGCAGAGTCTCGTCTCGGGAAACAGCTACCCGGCCCTGTTTTATACGGGATCTACGGGGAATTTTTGACCAAGCCTACGGGCTTGGATACCCAACAATAAATTCGGCCTTGTGCCACATCTGAACGCGCGGGGCGGTTGGTAGATATCCTGCAGTTGGAGTCTCGTCTCCATCTGTGCTGGTCAAACACTCTGACAGGAGGCAGAGAGGATCCCCAGACGAGGCAATACCGAAGGGCAGAGTTTCGTTTCAGGAAACGGCTACCCAACCCCGTTTTATACGGGGTCTGCGGGGAATTTTTGGACGAACCTATGGGCTCGGATACCCCGAATTAAATTCGACCTTGTGCCACGTCTGAGCGCGTGGGGCAGTTGGTAGATATCCTGCAGTTGGAGATTCATTGTGGAATTCACTTGACTCACTTCCTGCAGTTGATTACTTCTTCTACGCACCGCTGGCAAATCTTATATGTGTTGTTCTTGTCCTAAGTATTATCGTGCATTACCAACTTTCGTTTGATTATTCTATTCAGTAACCTTCCATAGGTTACAACAATAACAAAAAAAATATTCTAATCTAAAATAGGTTTCGGCTTTAAATAACCTATAAAATGTTGATAAGCAGTAAAAAAAACCCAAAGAGATCAATCAATATACGTTGACAGTTATCAGCCGAAGGATGACAAACCGCTTACGTTATCTCGGCGCCATGAAAATGCACCTTGACACTCACAAATAACATCATCATTCTAAATAAATCTAATTGTCGACGACATCTTACTATTATAAAGGCAGTTTTATATAAAACAATTCAACGCAAGCTTAAGCTTACCAAATTTAACAACGGTATTAACATGTTGGGGGTCTTTTAAAAGACAATCTGATATTGAATCACTGACACATTTCTCTTACACAGTTTCGAACTAATACTACTACAGCACGATACACATAAAAAAAAACATTGAAAAGATATTAACAAATGTCACCTTGAAAATATCTAATGAACTGTCTGAAAGCTCTTGGGTCAATAATCATTACAAACGATTTCTTCACTCACTTAGCCATCCCCAAAAGATAACTGCAAGGACATTGGAAAAACTTTTAAAAAAATCTTATCTATCATATATGAAACATGTATAAAAGAAATGTTGCTGCCCAAACATGCAATATCTCCAAGTACAATATATATATTTAATATATTTCTGTTTATACGTTATTTTTATAGATATAATTTATTTAAGTAAATATTCTATATATAATTAAATAGTATTAATTACATTTACCGACGTAAATGTTCGAGAAATTTCGTAGAAAATATGCGTTCTTCTGACAAGACTCGAACCTATAATTCTTATGGGAACTGGAATATAGCCTGACATGCCGTTACCATTCAGCCACAGCAAAGCATCTTGGTTAGCAAAGTCCGAATTACTGTTTTCTAAACACACACCTTTGACGATTTACGAAACGTGTCTTAAAGCAAACAATGATAACATGGTATGAAAATGGATTAAGTCTGAAAATTATTTAATATATTTTCTGTTTATACGTTATTTTTTTATAGATAGAATTTAAGTAAATGATCAGTTTTTTAATTAAACAGTTTAATTTCGAGAAATTTCAAATTAAAATATGCGCTCACCGACAGGAATCGAACCTGCAAACCTTATAGGAACCGTCTATAGCCTGACGTGTCGTCACCATTCAGCTACAAACAAGCCATTGGTTAGCAAATTCTGAATTAGTCTTTATAGACAGACACCTTCGACGATTTTTCTCGATTGATCATAACGTAAACAATGACAACATATTATGAAATGAATTAAGTCTGACTGTTATTTAATATATTTTCTGTTTATCTAGAAACATAACGTATAAACAGATAATATATTAAATAATTGTAGGACAATCCATTTCATAATACATACATATATACATGTGTGTGTGTGTCCGTCATCATACTAGTTGCATACATGGAGCCCAGTCAAACCCTTTGTGCTAGATAGCCGTTAACTTTGTAAAAAGGTTCATTAATCGTTTGACAAGTCTTGTTTTTAATCTTGTTGAGTGTCTAGCTATCCTCCTCACCAGAAAAGCCTGGTTGAGGCACCGGTTTAGTCGCCAATGACCCGACCATGCGATAGATAATATGCATTACCAGAAGTACCTGTATAATAATAATAATAATAATAATAATAATAATAATAATAGTACGTAGTGCAGGGTTAGAAGCTGAACCCGAAGGTTTTATTCTTGCTGCACAGGACCAATGCTTTTTAACTAGAAATTACGAAGCACACATATTGAAAAATTGTGTTTAACCAAAATGTAGATCCTGTGATAGATATCCAGAAACGATTGACCATATTGTATCAGGTTGCACGGTATTAGCACCCACAGAATATAACACTCGACAGGATATAATGGGAGAATATCTACACTGGAAAATTTATCACTGATGCACTTGAATCCATATAGAAGGGTCTATCTAGTTGGAAAATTATGGCATAATCTTTTTATTTGGTCTTGTGATCAACTCTTCTGAATTTAATATATTTATAATACTTCTGCAACTAATCCCAAACATATTAATCTTTTATCGCGCAACTAAATATATCCTAATTATAGACAAGACGAAAATATCTTAAAGAAAAGTAATAAATACTAATATATTCATCACAGATCTTAGTAAAAAATAAAGTTAATTATATACTACATTAAATCTAGTATATCTAATTCAATCATTCGTAACGACTCTTCCCCTCCGACTAACGTGTTTCAGAAAACCAACATTGTTTATAAATTTAAATGTCCTCTGGGAGATTGTATCTCCAACGGAAAAATTAACACTAATGATGGCCACACTACGGCCACGTTGTCTCAGCGGCTGAGTTTTCATTTGAATGATGCGTCAAAGATTTCTAAACATTTACAACTCCATACCTGTCCGCATTCGCAATTCAGAAAAATTCTTGTTGAAAATACATCTATACATTTCTTGAAAATAGTAAACATAAACTAAAAATTCTCGAAGCTATCTATATTAAAAAATTGAAACCAAACCTTAATAAAATTAATTATGAATACTGCACAAATGTTTTAAAATATTTATAGTCGATAGTTTAAAATATTGGGGTTTCTACTAATAGTTTTAATACTTATTGCTTAAAAAAAAACTCTTGATAACACCAGATTAGTTACCTCCCCTGAAGTGTTAGTCAAGCCAATCGCAGAATTCGATCAGCGTTCTTCAATTCAAAAATGAAAAAACTTTAGCTTTCAGATGAACACAACAATTTTGTTATAGAAAATGAACAGTACAATATTTTTCTCGAAATAAACAACCCCCTGATGATGACGCGCGTGTACGTGTGTTTGTGCGTGTGTAGCCGGTCATATAAATATTTAATTCATGAATCCGATATAATATTACAGGTTTGCCCGCGTTGATCACGACGCATACGTAAATTTAGAACGGCTAAAAGCCTTTCTGCTCTCATTGGATTCCAATCGAACGTGGTATATTGGTAAAAAAGGAATGGGGAGACGACATGAGATTGGAAAGCTCGGCCTTCCCCCTGGCTATGAATACTGCATGGGTGGATCCGGCGTGTTCTTGAGCCGTGGAAGTCTGGCCAAGTTGGGTCCCCACCTTGACACCTGCAAAAGACAGCTATTCACGCTTCACGAAGACACAGAACTCGCCCGTTGTATTCAGTTGTATCTCAACATTTCGTGCTCCACCGCTAACCTCGATACGGCTGGATGGAATATCCTCTCTGCTTCTCA